TTATCTGTGCATATTCGTTTCTGGCTCTACGACTGTTCTCCTTATTCTCCTGGGTCCTTTGCCTTCTATATTTCTTCCATTCCCTAGCACACTTGGTTTTTGCCTCCCTGCACCTTTGGGTAAACCATGGGCTCATCCTGGCTTTTTCATTACTCCTGTTACCCTTGGGTACAAACCTCTCCTCAGCCTCCTTGCATTTTGTTGCTACATATTCCATCATCTCATTAACTGGCTTCCCTGCCAGTTCTCTGTCCCACTGAACCCCGTTCAGGTAGTTCCTCATTCCTGTGTAGTCCCCTTTCTTGTAGTTTGGCTTCATTCGTCCTGGCCTTCCTGCTTCTCCCTCCACTTGTAGCTCTACTGTGTATTCGAAGCTTAAAACCACATGGTCACTGGCCCCAAGGGGTCTTTCATATGTGATGTCCTCGATATCTGCACTACTGAAGGTGAATACTAAGTCCAGCCTTGCTGGTTCATCCTCTCCTCTCTCTCTTGTAGTGTCCCTTACGTGTTGGTACATGAAGTTCTCCAGTACCACCTCCATCATCTTAGCCCTCCATGTATCTTGGCCCCCATGTGGGTCCAAGTTTCTCCCAATCGATCTCCTTGTGGTTAAAGTCACCATGATCAGGAGCTTTGCCCTGCATGCATGAGCTCTTCTGGCCACTCTAGCCAGTGTGTCAACCATCGCTCTATTGCTCTCGTCGTACTCTTGCCTTGGCCTCCTGCTGTTCTGTGGTGGGTTATACATCACTGCTATTACCACCTTGGGACCTCCAGAGTGAAGTGTTCCCACTATGTAATCACTTTCTTCTCCGCTATCTCCTCTCTCCAGCTCATCAAAATTCCAGCGATTTTTGATCAGCAACGCCACTCCTCCACCCCCCTGTTCCCTCTGTCTTTCCTCAGGATTTGGTATCCCGTTGGAAAGATGGCATCTGTTATCATACCTGTAAGCTTGGTTTCTGTGAGAGCTATGATGTCCGGTGATGCTTCTTTGACTCTTTCGTGCCACTCCTCCACTTATTTGTTATTCCATCAGCGTTTGTGTACCATACCTTCAGTTCCTTTCCAACACTGTGGTTTGGGGGGCCTGTGAGGTGTGGGAGACCTGGTGGCATACTGTGGGATTCTATAGCTCGGTGTTGGGTGGAGGCTGTGGGTATGGATTGTAGTGTGTGTTGGGATGGTGTGATAGGTTGTATGGTTCTGAGAGTAGTTGTGTGTGTGCTTGCCCTTGCTGTTCTGTCCTGCTCTGACTGACCTCTGCTGATTCCCTCCTTGTCTCTTTTCCTAGCTCCTTTCGCTTTTTTGTCCTCTCCCTCAGCTGCTGTCGTTCTGATTTTGTTCTGTCTCTGTCTAGGAACACCCTCTTGTACTCTTCCGAGTATTTCAATCGTGGTTTCTCTTGGAGGATCCTGTTCCGCACTGTTTCCGTCCTGAGAATCAGCTTGATTGGTCGTTTTCTCCCCTTCGAGTACCCCCTATTCTCTGAAAATTTACAATCTCGTCCATCTCTTCACCTATTTCCGTGATGATTTTCTCAATCTCCTTTCTTTCTTCCTGCTTCCTTTCAGTGTGTGTCCTTTCCTCTCTCTCCTGAAGCCCATGGATAAACACTGATTTTGCCCTTTCTTCCTCCCATTGCCTCACCCTCTGTGACTCTGGATCCTGCCTGTATGTGGTCAGTTTCTCCCTTGATTTTTCCAGTGGCTCTTGATAGCCTTGTTGTGCCTCAGCATTCGACCTATCACCCTCTCCATCTGCAACCAGCTGATCTTCCCTTTCACTCCTTGGTCCTCCTTGGCAGATTGATGTGACCTTAGCATAATTCATAATTCCTTCCTTCCTGTTCAGCCTCGCAGCTTCATATGCTGTGTCTTCTCTGGTCACTGCCCCTGTAACTCGCTTCAGCCTGTTTATCTCAACTTCTAGGACCCTTATCTTGGCTACTGCAGTTTCGACTTGTGCCTCCCAATTCTTTGTCTCCTTCTCCAACCTCCTTTCCAATTTCACAGAGAGCTCTTTCTCCATTTTTTCAGAAAGCTCTCCTAATTTTCTCTCCCACTCTTGTTCCATCCTTTTCCACTGCTCCTCCATCCACTCCTCCCTACCCGAACCATTCTCATCTGATCCTTGGTTCCTGCGAGTCCCCACCATTTTTTTTTTTTTTTTTTTTAAGAGTAGGAGAGGGGAGAGTTAGAAGGGAAAATGGGGACGAGAGAGAGCAAGAGAGCAAGAGAGCAAGAGAGAGAGCAAGAGAGAGAGAGCAAGAGAGAGAGATCAAGAGAGAGAGAGAGAGAGAGAGCAAGAGAGAGAGAGAGCAAGAGAGAGAGCAAGAGAGAGAGAGAGCAAAAGAGAGAGAGAGAGAAGGAGAGAGAGAGAGCAAGAGAGAGAGAGCAAAGAGAGAGAGAGAGCAAGAGAGAGAGAGAGAGCAAGAGAGAGAGAGGACAAGAGAGAGAGAGAGCAAGAGAGAGAGAGAGCAAGAGAGAGAGAGAGAGCAAGAGAGAGAGAGAGCAAGAGAGAGAGAGAGCAAGAGAGAGAGAGAGCAAGAGAGAGAGAGAGCAAGAGAGAGAGAGAGCAAGAGAGAGAGAGAGCAAGAGAGAGGAGAGCAAGAGAGAGAGCAAGAGAGAGAGCAAGATAGAGAGAGAGCAAGAGAGAGAGAGAGCAAGAGAGAGAGAGAGCAAGAGAGAGAGAGCAAGAGAGAGCAGAGAGAGAGAGAGCAAGAGAGAGAGCAAGAGAGAGAGAGAGCAAGAGAGAGAGAGAGCAAGAGAGAGAGAGAGCAAGAGAGAGAGAGCAAGAGAGAGAGCAAGAGAGAGAGCAAGAGAGAGAGAGAGCAAGAGAGAGAGAGCAAAGAGAGAGAGCAAAGAGAGAGAGCAAGAGAGAGAGCAAGAGAGAGAGAGGAGAGAGAGAGAGATGAGGAGAGAGAGAAGAGAGAGAGAGGGAGGGAGGGAGGGAGAAAGGGAAGGCAAAGAGGGGGGAGAAGGGGGAAAGAGGGGGAGATGGAAGAGCGAGAGGGGAGAGAGGCTAGGGGGGGGAGAGAGGTGGGAAAGGGAGAGGGGAGAGATAAAGGGAGGGGTCAGATGTTAGAGGGGGAGAGATGTTAGAGGGGGGGAGGTGTTAGAGGTAAGAGATGTTAGAGGGAAAGATGAGAGAGGGAATAGAGAGAGAGAGATAGGTAGAGAGTGATAGGTAGAGAGAGAGATATAGGTAAAGAGTGAGAGAGGTAGAGATAGGTCTACTTAGTGTAGAAAGAGGGGGGGAGAGGAGAAAGGTTCAGATGGTCAGTTCACAGGACGGTGTGAAATCCTGTGTATGTGTGTTTGCGTGTGTACTACAGCTTACAAGTGCTTGTTCCTGTGTGTGTATGTGTGTGTGTATGTGTATGTGTGTGTGTGTGTGTGTGTGTGTGTGTGTGTGTGTGTGTGTATGTGTGTGTGTGTGTGTGTGTGTGTGTGTGTGTGGTGTGTGTGTGTACTCACCTATTTGTGGTTGCAGGGGTCGAGTCACAGCTCCTGGCCCCGCCTGTGTGTGTGTGTGTGTGGTGTGTTGTGTGTGTGTGTGTGTGTGTGTGTGGTGTGCGTGCGTGTGTGGGTGTGTGTGTGCGTGTGTGGGTGTGTGTGTGGGGGTGTGCGTGTGTGTGGGTGTGTGAGGGGGTGTGTGGGTGTGTGTGAGGGTGTGTGTGGGGTGTTGGTGTTGTGTGTGTGTGTGTGTGTGTGTGTGTGTTGTGCGTCCCTGTGTGTATGCATATATTTGTACGCTCGTGTGCACATGTCCATGCGTGCGCCCTCGTGTGTGTATGTGCGCGCGCGCGCGCCAGTGTGGTTGTATGATCCACTTAATATTTGTATTTATAACTCATTACAATTGTGACCAGGTGTGGACGTATCAGTGGTTCATTACTTTGTAATTTGCTCATGCTGTAACCATGTATAGGAGTGAAGCTGATTCATTACCTCTGTAACTTGCCATGATTGTGACCAGATCTACCTGGAGTTCATTACCTTTGTAACTAGTTCAGCTATCATAACTTTGGGGTCCAGTCACTGGACCCATTATGTACCTTTGTAATCTTTTGACTACCGCCCACAGGATGGGTATGGGTGCATAAATAAAGATATTTAACTAAAGTGTGTGTGTGTGTGTGTGTGTGTGTGTGTGTGTGTGTGTGTTGTGTGTGTGTTGTGTGTGTGTGTGTGTGTGTGTGTGTGTGTGTGTGTGTGTGACTAAACAATCAATATTTGCACCAATAACTCATTACAGTTGTGACCGGGTGTGGAAGTGTGAATTGCTCATTACACTATAATTTGTTCATGATTGTAGCCATGTATAAACGTAAGTAACCATTCTTACAGAATTCATTACCTTTGTAACTTGTGAGCTCATTACCTTTGTACCTAGTTCAGCTATCAAAACTTTGGGAGCCCAGTCCCTGGACCCATTACGTACCTCTGTAATATGTAAATACCTTTGTAACTTGTCATGATTGTGACCAGACCTACCTGGAGTTCATTACCTTTGTAAATTGTGAGTTCATTACCTCTGTAACTTGCTCAGCTATCAAAACTTTGGAGTCCGGTCCCTGGACCAATTATGTACCTCTGTAATCTTTTGACTACCGCCCACAGGATGGGTATGTGGTGCATAATAAACATATTAAACTAAACTAACTTCCATACCCCAGCCACTGTATGACCCATGAATGCAGCAACCACTCTGTTAATACAGTAAACACAGCACTGTGACCTCTATGTGTTTAGTGCTCACCCCTTCCATGAATGTAATAATTTTCACATGCACCACAAAATGTTGAATTACGTTGGAAAAGTAATGTTGAATGTTGAATAATGTACGAAAGTAAATGATGAACATTGAATAACAGTAAGAAAGTTATGATGAATGTTGAATAACAGTAAAAAAGTAATGATGAATGATGAATTACAGTAAGAAAGTAATGCTGAATGTTGAATTACATTTAGAAAGTAATGTTAAATACTCACGTGGGTTGTTGAAAGTGGGAGGTTCTCTGTTGAACAAATTGATGTGTCTGACAGCGTCAGATCTGACAGTAGCTATGGTGGGTATGCAGCAGGTATATATGAAGCCTCCACCACATTTGTTCACTGGAGTATCTGCAATATACAATGCTCATCTTCATAACAGGAGTATATACATTGAGATGTGTATATGTATGTCTCAGTCTGTATACATTTAGTGTGTATATCTTTCAGTGTAGATACAAAAATATCTATCAAACTATTTATACTAAGAGATGTGTATCTGTATATGCAAAGAGATATGTATGTCAGTGTATATACGTCTATCTCTGTATATATACTGAGAGATGTCTCTCTGTATATTCCTTCTAAAAGAGGGATATATCTCGCAAGGGAGGTATGTGCCTTAATACTTGTCAGGCTCTTCATCCAAGGAACTGAACCAATAGTCTCCCCTTCCTTGGACTGAACCTGAACATCACCTGTTCCCTAGGCCATATATACCCCCATAGTGGAGCTACCCCTCTCCTTCCTCGGACCACACCCGAGTACCTCCAATTCTCCACCTCATTATCAATGTAATTTGCATACCAATCAAGACATTAGTGTCTAGTTCCTGGACCCATTATGTATCTCTTTCAATCTTTGGACTACCGTCCACCAAGGATGGATATGTGGTTAGTAATACAGATTAATATTAAACAATTTAACTTAAATGCTCTGCATATACAGGAGTTTTCGGCATGTAAGTTTATTCAGGTATACACAAATACAGATACATAGATTATCATACATAGCAGCATATATGTAAAGAACCTAGGATAGCCCAAAAAAGTCAGCCAGAGTGACTCATTTCCATTGGGGTCATTCATTCTCTTTGGTACATCTGCATCCTGCTGAAATAAAATATATTATTATCTCATTTTGGACTGACCTCCACGGAAGAGGCAGGAGAGGATGAAGGTGCAAGAAGCCTGGATACCATTGTGGACACACTGGTCAGGTAAAGTGAACATATTGCGGAAGTAACGCCCCTCGTCTGCCTCTGAAAACACATTGGTAGATTATAAAGACACAAAGAGAAGACTAGGCATTTCGGGAAGAATAAGATTAATTCAAACTATATTGGTACAGATTATGGAGCACATTGATATTAAGGCTAGGGAACTGCATTACAGTTCTTAAATTTAGCAATGTGAATGGTTTTGTCTTTGTACGATACATAGTTTCTATTAAAGCTCCTATATTGGAGTATCACAGGCAAACTTATGACTAGTTTAAGATTCATTAGGTAATAGTTTTATTATGCATTTCTTTGTTTACAGTCAGTTGGGTGAGTAAGTGTTAATTGTGGGGAATCAAAGATAGAGAGTAGGCATAGGTTTTTTTTTGTGTGTGTATGATACAAGAGAATAGGTGGTTTTCATGTACCCCATTCTCTTTGCTGACGACACGACTTTTGTCATCTCTCACCCTAATCTTGCCACCCTCAACACCATTGTTAATGAGGAGCTGCTCAAAATATCAAATTGGATGACAGCCAATAAACTTACGCTTAACACTGACAAAACCTACTATATTGTGTTTGGTAGCAGAGCAGGTGTTGCGCAACTTAACATTAAGATGGACAACACTAATTGCCAGACATAATGAGGGCAAATTCCTAGGCCTATACCTCGACAACAACCTAAGTTTCAGCACCCATATCCAACACATATCTAAAAAAGTATCCAAAACAGTTGGGATCCTCTCCAAGTTACGATACTACGTGTCACAAACTGCCCTTCTCACACTATACCATTCACTTGTATATCCATACCTCACCTATGCTATCTGTGCTTAGGGATCAACTGCAGCAACACACCTAAAGCCAATAATAACCCAACAAAAAGCCGCAGTAAGAATAATCACTAAATCCCATCCCTGGCAACACCCCTCCCCCACTCTTCATAGATCTAAACTTACTCCCTGTTCAGTACATCCACACTTACTACTGTGCAATCTACATCTACAGGACCTAAAATGCTTTCTTGATAGTTGTGACAGAACCCACAGGCACAACACCAGACACAAACATCTCTATGACATTCCCCGTGTCCGACTAAACCTTTACAAAAATTCAATGTATGTCAAAGGCCCTAAAATCTGGAACACCCTACCTGAAAATTCTAAAACTGCAGACACATTCATCACCTTCAAAACTACCATCAGAAAACATCTTATCTCCCTGATACACCCTGTCAACTAATTACACGAATACCACCTGGTGGTTAACACTTGCACTCACTCACCCATTTGACCATAAACACAGAAATACGGATCTTAATCTTAAAATAATGATTCCTAACTAGTCATATGTTTGCCTGTGATACTCCAATATAGAAACTATGTATTGTGCCAAAACAAAAGCATTCACATTATTAAACTCACAAACTAGTATTTAGTCACTTAGTATTTAGTCATTTAGTAGTTAGTCAACTTGCTCCACAATTTGTAATAATTTAGGGTTAAGAATTAATCAAAGTTTGCCCGAAATGCCTAGCCTTGCTAGGTGTTCTAGTGGCCCCCCTCTGTAATTAGCATTTTATTACATGTAAACCACACAATAACTAAAATCTATAAACCCCGCATTGTAATCCTTATAGAGAATAAACTTTGATTTGATTTGATAGCTGATGGTGGGGTGTGTAAGGGAGATGTTTCCTAAAGGTAGTTTTGGAAGTGATGGTTGTGTCTGCAGTTCTAGAGTTATCAGGTAGGGTGTTCCAGATTTTAGGTCCTTTTATGTACATTGAATTTTTGGTATAGGTTTAGCCGGACACGGGCAATGTCATAAATGTTTGTGTCTGGTGTTATGCCTGTGGGTCCTGTCACAACTATCAAGAAAGTGTTTTAGGTCAGGGTTTATATTGGAATTTAAGGTTCTGTAAGTGTAGGTTGCACAGTAGTAAGTGTGGATGTTCTGTATACTGAAAGTCATACACCTGTCGGTGTGTATACTGAAAGTCATACACCTGTCGGTGTGTATACTGAAAGTCATACACCTTGTGGAAAATTGCATTTATCTGAATGTAACTAATTATGTACATAACAGTAAATGATAACAAAGATAATTATTATTTACCAATGTTACATAGACAAGTAGGAATTTGGGACACCTAGGTCGCAAAAAATGTCCCCCTTCGATACCACAAGTTGCTCTAGACCTATTAATTAAATGAAATATACATACACCAGGAATACTGGTAAATATATAAATTTGTGGACTGTATATTAAAAATAATAAATGGTTATATATGTACACAATTACATAACAGAAGGAAAATATATCTTAATATCACTCACCAATTTGACTGGAGATTAATGTGCATCATACTCAGAAAACCTCACTCTAACTAAATCTATGAAAATAATGCTGGCCAGAATTACACACAAATCTAGAGAGCTTATCTGAGGTTCCTGGAGCTGTCTTGTCCAGTCGTCTGATATCTCAAGTTATGCAGGAATGCACATCCACCAATTTTGCCTCCTATTTGAGAGGTGTCAACGCAATTTTAACCTCTAGAGCACGAAAAATTCTTCCCATTACACCAACGTTTGTACAAAATTCAAAACCAAGATGGTGAGTGTCTTCTTTTTTTCGATAACATACTTCTTTTAAAAATACAATATAGGGCATCTATTTACCTATAAATTACCGTATTTCCGGAAAATGTATACAGTATTTTCTATTTGCTAAACGACTCAAATTGCTCATTTGACAATGGTGGAGGACCTGGGTACATATAGGATCTGGCATCCACATGGCGACATATTACACAAGATTTAATCACCCTTTTTACACTTTGCCGTCCTTGTGGAATCCAGAAAGTTTCCCTAATACAATTTAAGGTATCTTGTACCCCACCATGCATTACATTTTTATGGGCATTTAGAACAATTAAATTTGTTAGATGATGAGTTTTGGGCAGTAAGATAGGGTGTTTAGCATAATCACCCAATTCAGCATTCTGTAACCTACCTCTGCACCTAATTACATTGTTCTCTAAATACAGCCCCAATTTCTCTATTATGGAACCTTTCACAATTTTTCTTTCCATCATCAATTTAATCTCATTTCCATAGATTTCCTCCTGTACCCTCTTTATCCAATATTCAAGAGGGTGTGAAAACTTATATGAAATATTCATCTTTAGAAATTTAAACACCAACTTAGTTACATTGATTAGTTTGGGTAAAGAAGAATACCTATTCATATCAATGGCTAAGGGAGGACAAACTATTGGAGCGGTGGTCACAGTAATTTCAACAGGAGCAATATACGCCTTTTGTACAGGCCAATTAGCTTTATTTACCAACCAACTCGGTCCTTTAAACCATGATACAGCATTTACAAATTTAGCATAAGGTAAACCTTGAGACAAGAAATCAGCTGGATTCTCCTCACCAGGTATATGATTAAATGTTAACATATGCTGACCCAAACTATTATACTTCTCTTGCATCTGATTAATTTCAGCGACTCTGTTTTGTACGTACACAATTTTATTGTTTCCATTACGAATCCATTGTAAGGATACCTCATTATCAGACCAAATTACAGTGTCACTAATATTTATCTCCTGCAACTTATTTCTTATATAATTAGCTAATTTGACACCTACATAAATGGCTGTTAATTCCAACTGAGGCAAGGTACGTGATTTAATTGGAGACACTTTAGCTTTAGACATAACAAGAGAAATAACACTATTACATTGAAGGTAAGCAACTGCTCCATATGCTAATTTTGAAGCATCACAAAAAATGTGGAGTACATTTTTCCCATTTGGATTGGCCACCTGGCGTGGGAACTCCAACATTGGAATTTTCTCATAATCACCAATTAATTCATCCCACCTGTTAATGAATTCCTCAGGTAGAATTTCATCCCAAGCACATTTAAGTTTCTATGCTTCCTGAATTAATAATTTCCCTCTTATAGTAAGGGGTGACACTAAACCTAGTGGATCAAAACATTTGGAAACTTCAGCAAGCAAAACTCTTAGTTAATTTATTGGGCATACTGTAATTATTAGGTTTTAACATTAACAAATCTCTTCGTTTTCCCAATTTAAAAACCCCCAACCATTAAAACATTTTGGATTTAAATCCCAGGGAAATTTTTTTATTTTTTGGGTTTTAATTTGGACAAATTTACAAACCCCTTTCCTCAGGGGAAATTTTTGGGCCCCTTTGCTTTTTTTTTAATTACCCTTTCTCCATAAGCCCTTAAACGTTCCTCTTCATTTTGAGTCCACTCGGGGAAAATTGTTCACTTTAAAATTTTTTTTTGCTCTTTACTTTACTCAATGGACTTCCCGTCTTTTTTAAGGTGTGCATTTATCGTCCCCTTTAAAGAGAAACGGAGGGATGTGCCCCAAAAAATACGCTCCAAAAGGGGGAAAGGGTTTTTCGGAGGGCTAAGGGGGGTCATGGTTTCCCAGGCCAAAAGAAGGGGGTTTACAACCCGGTCGCCTCTTGTAAACCCCCCGTCTCTCTACACAGTTTACAAAACAAATCTCCTTATTTTTGGTTGAAATAAAAATTTGTATAAATTATCTTTTACCTAAAGCATCAAAAATACAATTTTAAATTTTCGTTTTCCCACATTTTTCTTGATTCTTTAAATTTCCCAAAAGCCTTATATAGGGCCTTTTTTTACATAATTTTCCCTTTCCTTGTAGTGATGTTTTCCCTTTGCTCTATATTCCCCCCTCAAGGAAGGTTCCTTATGTTGGTGAGGGGCCCCTTGATTTTGGGGGAAATTTGGGTCTGTGCTTCCCGTCCCGAATTAAGCCTGAATGGGCCCTTCCCAAAAACCCCCCCCCCGGGCTGAAAATCCTCCGGGTTTAGCGCATCCCCCCTTGGGTTTTAATAATAATTTAATTTTAATGCTCTTTATTCCCAAAAATGTTTTTTTCTACATTTAAATTTTCCCCATTTTCAGCCCTGGGTTTCAATGTTTAAATTCAAAATTTAAAAAACCTGATTTTGTTTAAAATTTTGCCTTTTAAAGGTAAATTTTAAAAAACTTACCCTTTTTAAAAAAATTTAGCTACTTGAGCTTTGCAGTACATGTAAAAAATTGTTTTAATTTTAAAATTTTAAAAAATTTTAAAAATGTTTGTTAAATTGGCTTTGCAATTCAATGTAAGAAAAATTTTTATAAAATTTTAAAGTACATTTTTAAAAAAACCCTTTTGCCAGCCCTTGGGTTTTCAAAATCATTATACCAAAATTTAAAATAAATCCTTGCCCGAATTTGGCCCTAGAAAATTTAAAAATTTTTCACCCTTTAAAATTTAAATTGCCAAAACTTGCCTTTTCAAAATTTCCCCATCACTGATAAAATTTTTGGCCAGAAATTTTTATTTTCAAAATTTAAAATTATTTCAAATTAATATAAACTTAGGGCCCGATTGATTATCAAAATTTTTATTGTAATAAATTTTAATCCATACACATTAAGTAAATTTGTGAAATTAAAATCCACTCCTTCTGTTATTTTCAATAATTTTTTAAAAAAACCCAATTAAAGGGCTTCACTAATTTCCCCCGGTTCAAGAAGGACCAACGGGGCAAAAATTTAAAAGGGAAAAAATTTCATTTTTCTGAATGTAACTAATTATGTACATAACAGTAAATGATAACAAAGTTTAATTATTATTTATCAATGTTACATAGACAAGTAGGAATTTGGGACACCTAGGTCGAAAAAAAATGTCCCCCTTCGATACCTACACTGTCATAACCACAAGTTGCTCTAGACCTATTAATTAAATGAAATATACATACACCAGGAATACTGGTAAATATATAAATTTGTGGACTGTATATTAAAAATAATAAATGGTTATTTTATATACACAATTACATAACAGAAGGAAAATTATATCTTAATATCACTTACCCAAATTTTACTGGAGATTAATGTGCATCATACTCAGAAAACCTCACTAACTAAATCTATGAAAATGCTGGCCAGAATTACACACAAATCTAGAGAGCTTATCTGAGGTTCCTGGAGCTGTCTTGTCCAGTCGTCTGATATCTCAAGTTATGCAGGAATGCACATCCACCAATTTCGCCTCCTATTTGAGAGGTGTCAACGCAATTTTAACCTCTAGAGCACGAAAAATTCTTCCCATTACACCAACGTTTGTACAAAATTCAAAACCAAGATGGCGAGTGTCTTCTTTTTTTCGATAACATACTTCTTTTAAAAATACAATATAGGGCATCTATTTACCTATAAATTACCGTATTTCCGGAAAATGTATACAGTATTTTCCACACACCTGTCAGTGTGTACAATGAAAGTCATACACCTGTCAGTGTGTATACTGAAAGTCATACACCTGTCGGTGTGCATACTGAAAGTTATAAACCTGTCGGTGTGTATACTGAAAATCATACACCTGTCAGTGTGTATACTGAAAGTCATACACCTGTCAGTGTGTATACTGAAAGTCATACACCTGTCGGTGTGCATACTGAAAGTCATACACCTGTCGGTGTGTATACTGAGTCATACACCTGTCGGTGTGTATTCTCTTAGATAAAGGCAAATGTTTGAGTGTTTTAGAAATACAATTTAAAATTTTAACTACTAGGGAAAATATAGATTTTAAGTCTGATTTTGATTTTAACCCGAAGTGCAACAGCCAAGGTCAGTGAGGCGAGAAATTCCTTCCTGGATGTGCCTTGATGCCGGTGAAGGGCTCTTGATCCAAGAACCTGTACCATTCCTGATTACTCCCCGTTCCCCAAGCGACGTGTGACCCATGTGGGTTGAGCGCTTTCCCCTGATAAAAACAATTGTGATTAACGTGTAAGGAGTATTCATATATGAATACTTACGCTGGGCTGCGACAGGAAGGACGGAGAAGAGGAAGAAGAGGAGGAAGAGGAAGAGAAGGAGGGGGAGCTGTCTGGGGTATACCCCCACTCCCCCCCATCTTCCTGCAATCATGACGTCACAACATTAACCTGGAACAAGACAAGTATTCACTTACTATCCGAAGAAGACAATTATCTCAGTGAAAATTATAAGAAATAATGTTATAGCGGAGACAATTCTAGGAGACAAATGGAGGAGAATGTTTTTATTTTTTTTAGCTAACACATGTAAATATAAATCACTCATTTTACATTATTCCTAATATATATCATTTATAGTATAATAGTAAGGTATTCAATGGACTCCAATGATCATAGGTTCTCTACACATTTATGTATGATAATCTATGTAACTATTTGTATATACCTAAATAAACTCACTTATACAAATGAGCTGTTGAATCTCGGTATTAAATTTGCTTTAAGCCATCAAATAGTGGAGCCAACAAGGCCTTATTTTCACAAATAATGATGACCTGGTGTGAAATGTAACAGTATCGATGACAGTAAATTCAGATCACAACCTAACTGGAGTTCAGACTTGTATGGCCAGGAGTACCGACCAACAAAATACAAACAGTTATGAGGTTGCTGTCACCAAATTCAACTTTATCAACTGGGAAGGCATCTTTAACATGGATCCAAATCAGCGTCAAGAAGGGATAAACTCTGTGGCACTTGAAGTACGTTCAAGGTACATTTTTCAAGGAAAACAGAAGAGAGGATGTAAACTAGAAGAGAGACGTTCCATCTACAGGAAAAAGCGAAGAGTCACATAGCTTTTCGATGGGGCTAGACTATCTGAAGTGCAACATAAACTATTTAATTCAATTTAAAAGAATCATACAGGATCCAGGAGAGACAGGAGATAAAAACAATTAATGAAATAGAAAGAATTTAAAAATATTTCTTCTCAAATACCAAATCCAAGGCAAAAACCATATCCAGTATTGGGCTCTTGTTCTAACAAGATGGGACTTACACTGATGACAACAAAGAAATGACTGAAATACTGATGTCTCGATATGACTATTTAAGTTAGCTGTTACTCAGACTGAAGGTCGACAATCGGAACTATTTTTTTTTTTTTGGACGAGACTCAAAACCTTGTCAATATTTCCAAAATTTCTGACATAAACAACACCAATGGACTTTGAAAAAGCGATTAACATGCCCATGCATTCTGCTCCAGGCCCAGACTCGTAGAACTCAGTATTCATCAAGAACTGCCAGTTGTAGAGGAGGCCAGTGGTCTGAGGTGCGACTAATCTCTCTCGCGGAGGTGTGTGGTTGGGGCTCCCTTCTTCTGTACGTGTGTCGTCCGGTCTTAAATAAGGAAAGACCTCGTCATCTCGAGGTCGTTTTTAATTCATCACTGTGGTTTTCTTCACGGGGGGTGCCACACCACAAGAGGTGTGTTGTTATGCGAGCATCAACCTCTGGCGCAACTTTGATGCTAGCCTGTCACGGTGGACAGTGGACTGGGCTACTGTAGAGAGCTCAACTAAATGAACCCGGGTTCGATTACTAGGCGGAGAGGAGAAGTAGGGAAATAAGTCATTGACTTTTTTGGGGGAGTTATCCTAGGTTCTCTACACATTTGCTGCTATGTAGGATAATCTATATAGCTATATTTGTGTATACCTTAATAAACCTACTTATTCTGCCCATGTTTTCCCTAGCAGTAAGAAAAGCACTGGGTTTTAGTCAACTATTGTGGGTCACATCCCAAAGTATTAATAAAGAACTATAGTGGAAAAATAAGGATTACACTGATTTATTTTCCAGAGTTATTCTGGGTTTTTCAAGGTTATTAACCCTCCTGGGTTAATAATCCAAATCAAGTTATCCTACGTTAAAGACTCGCTTGCAACACAGCTTGCAACACTGGCAGGTAAAGCATCAATGTTGATCAAGGGGTTGCGCTTTTATGCCGGAGAAGAACACGATACATACACGTTCAAAACGTTTACCGAAGGAGAAGTTTTGCTACTGGCGAAAGGAGCCAGAATTGCTCTTCAGGCCTCATTTTCTCCCATTCCCCCGGACGATGTAAAGCCCATACGGTTTAATGCTTCTTTATAATAACTGGTACAATGAGGTGGCGGTGGTGTTTTATTCGTCAGGAAAAAGGATATGAGCGTCCTGATACCTCAGAAAACTACCTGACACTTGTAATAGTGGTCAGCTAGCTCCAGAAAATATTAAAAATATAAATGTCCACTACAAAAAAAACCCACACATGGGAGAACGAAACTGATGACGCTTCGGTCCGACTTGGACCATTATCTAGTCCAAGTCGGACCGAAACGTGGCCAGTCTCACTCGCCTATGTTCGGATTATTTGCATTTTGTACCAATGACGGTACTGTGCATTTTTGTTCTCTAAGTATGGTAACTTTCCCGTCCACTCAGTTAATGATGACAAATACGAGGGAAAAAAATATATACAGTGATTTCTATTTTAATAAAATGAAAGTTCAAAGTGTTTTTCTATTTATTTAGGCTGAGATTTGCTCACCTTGACTCGTTTAACCACAGAAAATTTCCAGCCACCAATTTCGATCACAGTCTCTAAACCCATATTAAACATAATCTCACCCACAAATAGATCGATAACTGCTGAGTCTGGCCACTACGACCCTGAGATTATTATTGTAATCATAAAGGTCATAACGGCCCTGGAGTATACCTGGTGAGGGTTTCGGGGGGTCAACGCCCCCGCGGCCCGGTCTGCGACCGATCCTGAGGAATTTCTCAAAAATAGAAACAAGAACCGGGAGAGGAAACTCAAATTACCCTCAACACTCTTCAGGAGGTCCAGTCTGTCAGTCACTCAGCTGCAGTCTTCCAACCACGTCACGTACCGTATTTTCCGGCATACAAGGTGCGCCATTTTTCCAATGAAAAGTCTTAGAAAATCAGCCTGCGCCTTATATGCTCAAGGTCAGGGTCAAGGGTAGGCTTTGTGTTAGGCATTAGCGTAAAGTAAGAGTTTAATTAACCCTTAAATATTACTTATTTACCATTATGATACGTCTGTTGTGCGCCTTATATGCCGGAAAATACGGGATATATATATATATATATATATATATATATATATATATAATATATAATATATATATATATATATATATATATATATATATATGGGAACTGCCTGATCAAAACTATGCCATAGGAAACGAAACACTTTTTATCTGTAATTTTTCTGTTATTCCCGCCATGGTGATCCTCGGTGGTAATTTTACCTGCGTGGTAGATCTCACCAATATGTAAATAACACAGTGCTGGTTATGGCATTTTTGTTGTGAAGACGTTTCGCCACACTAGGACGAAACGTCTTCAACTGAACTGACAAAATTCCTGGTGGACGAAATGGCTTCAGAATAAAAATGGTACAAGTGGTCCTTGATGCTGGGATTAGCGAGGCCTCATGATTATGTTAATGTTTATGAAGTTATTATCACAGGGAAGTGGACACTTAACGCATCCACTCAGGACAACAGTCATAACTAAGTGCTAAGCCCGACGAGGGTCATACAGCAGCAATGAAAACGTTTCGGTCCTTGAACCCTGACCACATCGAATACTTGTGTTTACTTTCCTCCCTCAACCTGCTGGAACACATTTACCGTCTTACTGCACATTATTAATGTGTTTGAGAAACTGGTCATCGTAATTAATTTTCGCCGAATATTTAAAAAGTGTTAGTGGACTAGTGTGGGTCGCATCCTGGAGTATTATCCTGGAGTATTAGGGGGTCAACGCCCCTGCGGCCCGGTCTGAGACCAAGCCTCGGGGATAAAATTGACCTAATTTGCGGGATATGCTTTGCGTAAGAAGCGGCTTTCTATATAGCAGTATGTCATTGATATCAGCTATGGTCTGTATACCTTGTACATGTACTTGTAGAAATAAAGATTATTATTATTAAGATGATCAGCTGTTATTCAAGCCTTTAAACGTGTCATTACTCAATGGTCAAATGCTCCTGGATACATCTGGGAATCTATATTTTGGAAACATTTTGCCCACCAGTGACTTTTTCAATTCAATATAGAGAAGAAATTATCCCTCCTGGATCCGCCCCGTAAGAACAATTTTTTTAATGTGACGGTAATAAATGGGGAGAACTAAACGAGGAATTTTTAACATGATGCCAGCAAAGACCTTCGTTCTCTATTGATAATAAAAGTGAAAGGACGGAGAAGAAAAATGGTGTCCACGAAGTACAACACAAACTGTTGTTGAATGTTTTTTCAACCTCCCTTTACAAAATATTTTCAATTTGAAACCTTCGGTGAAGAAATTACATAACTTGCGATCTTGGCTTAAATAGCAACGTTCATCTTGCCATATAGGACAATTGAAAATTTGTGTATGCAATAATTTCGCCAAAATCATTCTGAACCTAACGAAAAAAAATATATTTCATTGTGTTTGTTTAGTATTAAATTATTGTAAACAAATCTAAAATATATTTAGTTGGGTTAGGCTAAAATAAATTGCTCTTGTTGTAATAAGGTTAGGTAAGTTTTCTAAGTTTCTTTTGGTGCAAAATTAAAAATTTTACATTAACATTAATGAAAAAAATATATCTTTGAACGTATAAGAGAAAATTTTGGAAAGGACTAAATTTTAAATGAGTTCTTGCTAATTGACCAGTTTTACATATTCGGCACGACATTAATATATATATATATATATATATATATATATATATATATATATATATATATATATATATATATATATATATATATATATATATATATTATACACATACAAGTGGATTAATACATAAAAGACTTATTTCTTCACTCTGGATACTTTTACCGTCCCGAGTCTACAGTGACAATCACATAACACTTTAAAAACGATTTCTTTAAAAATCCTCAAAGACCTTTGTTGAGGAGTAAGACTTTCACTGGAGTCATGATGAAACAAGTATTACAAGCTGTGGTGTTAACTTGTGTGTTGTCCATGGCCCTCTGCCTCGTAAACCTGAGTGCCACGGGACGATGACTTGTTGCCTCGTAAACGTTAATACCTCGTTAGTTAATACCAAGTAAAGATGACCTCTT